TACCCTCCAGCCAGTACTGTGGCCACCACAGGGGGCAAAGTGCCCTGCCTCTTACAAAGTTTGCCTTCTAATATCTGAGCCAAAACCCATCTCCTTTAAGCGTCCACTCATTGGTCCCAAAGAAACCCACCTGGGCCACCCAGGACAGGCCAGTTCACATGCCCCCAGGCTCCTCCTGTCCTTCCCTACAGCTCTTCTAGGTACTTCAAAGATTCCCTCCACGTCATGGGCTTCAGTTCCCATGCCTGTGCTTCTTGTCTCCATCTGAATTGATCTTCACTGGTCTATCATCATCATAGAGTACAGAGCTCAGATCTGAACATATGACATTTTCCTAAATGTAATTCAATCTGAACAAATCAAATCCAATTTAAAATCAAGATCACCAATATTTTAATATCCAATGTTCTCAAGGGTCTATTAAGTAGTAGTACAAGTAGAAATGGGATATGCTAATTTCTTTTTTTTAAAAACATAATGACCACCTGTACCTTTTTTATGGTACGGCTAGAAGACGTTGGCTTCTATGAGGCTTGTTCTTCTCAAAGTTAAACTCAGTGAGAAAGTGTCTACTCTTGCCCAAAGTTAGCAGCCTCAGATCTGAGCCCTGGGAGCAACGAGGCATCCATTACCTTGTTGGGGCACTCTGCTTTCAACGATACATGAGGTCACTCTCACAAAGTCAGAGCTCACAGCCCCAGCTTGTACCTCACACCTCCTGTATAGCACAAGGACGGGGTTAGATTATTTTAAATTTCTGACTCTTCCCCCCCCCCACAGGTTCTTTCTTTATTTTAGACAGAGAGAGAGAGAGAGAATATGCAAGCAAGTTGGGGGAGAGGCAGAGGGAGAGAGAGAATTCTGAAGCAGACTCCCCACTAATCGTAGAGCCCAACTCAGGGCTCGATCCGAGGACTCTCAGATCATGACCTGAGCTGCAATCAAAAGTTGGCTGCTTAACCAACTGAGCCACCCAGGAGCCCCTAGTTTTTGACTCTGTAAGTGATACTAATAGTTCTAGATAAGTCCAGTGACTGGCTTGATCATCCAAACACCTCCAGTGCTCACACATAAATGCACACACCTGATCAAGTTATGACGTCAGAACTCAAAATGTTTATAAAGTTAAGGAATTCTTTTATGTTATACGTATAAAGATCACAGTCTCTGCTTCTATAATTTACTAGATTCACTCCATTCATTTTAAGTTATACATATAAACAGATGACTATTCAGCTTAAGTTAGGTCATAGCGCATTCTTCCGTCGGGTGTAGAGTTTATCACCACTCTGCAGCGTCAGAGAACTAGGACAATGACTGTGAATGCTGGTCCAGCGAGAAACTCGCTGGTTGGGATGCCCTTATTTCTGTCAGGTGCACCAAGAGCCCCCATGTGGATAGTGTTTCTGGCTTTTGCGACAGCACAGATCCTGAGAATGTTATACTGTTAGCTTGTACTTTCTGGACAAACATGGCACCAAGGTAAGAAATACCTGGCACCAGAATCTTGGTGCTTGGCTGAGCGTCTAGGGCTCCTGTGTGGAGCACCTGGCTGAGGAATGGTTTGGAGGTACACTCAGGAAGCTCTGACCACGCCCCTCAGCTGGGCTCGGGCCAGGCTCCCAGAAAACAACGGTGGCTAGCACACACCTCTGCCATCTTGCGGGGCTTCTGGCCCAGTGCACTTAGTCAAGGGTCAGAGGCACAGACTTCTCCAGGGATTTCTCAGAGACACGGTCAAAGGCATGAGCACTGCCTTGCTTCTGCTGCTTCATCTCTACCTTCTTGCCGTCTCTGCCTTGGAGGTGGACCCGTGTGGCTGGTGCCCTTTGGCTTCTGCTAGGATTTAGTCAAAGAAGGGGTCAGGCAGAATCAGAGTCAGGGAAGGGAATGAAGTTAGGGCGGTCCCCCTGGGTCCCTTACCCTCCGGGTCACCACAGACTAAATAGGTCCCTCTGTTGAAGGTCATAGCTCCTAACACCTTGCCCAAACAGCTCTCTGTCTGGGTCCTGATAATTGACTCCTCTGTTGCCTGTTACACTCCTGGGGTTCTGCAACATCCCATAGCTCTTCCCACACCTCTGCAGACAGTCCCATGGTAAACTCCCCTCAAGGACCCAGCTTGAGGGTGCTGTTTTCTCCCAGGACCCTGACTAAAGTAGCTTTCAATGGAATTTTATTTGTCTTATACTCTGAAGACGTTTGAATCTAGTCATTTGTTCCAGCAGGTTATGTCAAAAACGATATAACTCAACTACTTTTCAAACACCTTGTAGAGAACGTTTGATATCTACAATTTCAACTTTTCACTATGAGGTCAGTCAACAAAGAATACAGTGGAAACAACCAGTCATAGAACAGGTTGATGAACATACAGAACAGGAAAGAGAAACAAGTATTTTCTTATAATTAAAATTGAACAATATCCTCTAAAAATAAAACATATACAACTAGCTTTAATTTCAAGAACAGATGTTTAGACAGTTTACGCTCTTTACTTAAAGGAGCTAATAGCTGTTAAGACTATTACATAATATTTTGTATTATTAAATCTAAAATGACCTCAATTCTCAATTGTAGGTTGCCTTATGACTTCAGAGATGTTAAAACATGAAAAAGAAAAGCGTACTTTAGAAATAATGAAATATAGTGCCTCTCACAAAAATGACTCATTTACCATCTTGTATGTAACCTTTCCTAGGAAAAATGATACCTTTTCTTTTTTTCTTTTTATAGAGAATCTGTTGCCTTATTTCCTACTGGAAAGATGTCATGACGTTGGTATTACAGACACAATAATCTGTGAACTAGGAAGTGAGGGGCAGCTTCCCTTCTGATCACTGGTGTTGAATTTCTGAATACACGTCAACCATTACTCATCATCCATGCTTGAGATACTGTGGCGATTTCTAATCTGGGTGTTTCTATGGTGCCTGGGAGTCCGTCTTTCTGTCTGTGTCACACTGCAGCAGTTAGGCCCTTTAATGAAAGGGTCCAAGGTTGTTTTTACGTTGAGGATCTGTCTCAGCCTTATTATACACTATTGCTCAGCACAGGATACGATCCCAGTAACTCAGGAAATGGGCTGGGAGCTTCTCAGGTGTCCCCCAAACTCACGGACACGTCTCAAACCTCTCTTGATTCATGCCTGGCTGACCGGGATGCTGGTTTGAAGCCGCGGTCCTATTAAACACGCAACCACTGATTTACCTGAAGGCTGTATCTTACTGACACAGTTGTCACTCCGTCAGGAGGTGGGTAGGATATAAGCAGAAAGTGTAAAATATGTGTAATGGTGTAATGTACTTACAGGTGGACCTGATCATCAGTTTCTACCAAGTGGTGTTTCTGAAAAAAGTTGTCCAACAGAAACACGACATACCCAGTAAGATGGTTATCTGTGACATGGATAGGAGGCCTTTTCCTACAGCAAACCTTCCTCTCGCCTGGGGTACATGGGGTGAATGTCACCCAGACTGATGAGGCTCCAGGCTTCTTCCTGGTTTTACCCCCAACCTCCCGTTCAGGTAGGGCATGGCCACCAGTGCACCTCTACAGCCGGATGCTCTCTGTTAAAGCGGTGTTTGAAAGTCTCAGCAACGCTGGGCATCTGTAGCTCATTCCTTTCAACTGGGAAGGTCAGAAATGTCTAGGTGGGTGCTGTGATCCATAATCATTATTTTTCACCACTCCTGATATAATAGAATCATCCTTATTTATCATAATGGGAGAAAATCAGTTTTTACTGGCTAAACTTGTTAACAGGCAGCCTATGGGAGGCAACAGGGTAAGAGATGTGAAGAAGAAGTGCTCTCAGACTCTTCCCTACTTGCCACCATGAGAACCCTGGCAAGCCACTGGAAACTCTGAACTCCGAGTTCTCAGATGCGTGAAACATGCCACAACTCAACTCACAGAATCACGTGAACAACAAACCCCCTGCACACACCATCAACTCCATTCCTTCCTTGCTAATGTATGCATTGTGGGCTTCCAGGCTCATGGCTGGATACTAGGAGGGAAGAAGGCACTTTTCCAACACTGCAAATTGTAGTTCTGAATAATCAAGTAGAGGATTCGGGAAAAGCATAGCAGAAACAGAGGAAGAGAAAGCATATAAAGTTAAAAAAGTATTTCCGACGCCTGTGTGGAATGCATGTCGAAAACAGACTCTTACTATTGATGGTGTCACAGACAACAATTCATGTTAAACAATGACGCTACGAAATTTTTATCTTCCTTTGACATATTTCTTCAGCTTATTGACTACAACTGCATTACTTTCACTCTCATAACGTGGGGTGTATGTGTGTGTGTGTACACATGCGCATCTCTACTTTGCATCTGTGAAATAAAAAAATGTAAATCCATCTGAAGGAGTGACTTCAGAAAGAGCACATCTGGCCATCACTGAGAATAAAAACTAAGGGCTCAACAAGTAAAAGGAAAACCAAGACAAACCATGACAAACTGTGACAACTGGAATATTAATAGAGCCCACAAAACAAAAAGAACGGACAGACACTCATAGAAGAAGCATTTATCATAATGTGTTGCTGAAAGCCAGGATTGGAGTAGCCGTCTTATAAGAATTAAGACCAGCCAATACTAGAAAACACTTCTGGAGTAGGAAAGGGAACTGTCTTTGTTAGAATAAAATAATATGGCGCCCCTCCCAGTTGGAGTACAGGGTGCAGAGGCTGGGCCAGACCCAGAACCTGACCAGGCGGGTGACAGGGAAAACAGGTTTACCGTCTACCAGATGATGACTGCCAGAGGAGAAGAGAGTTCATCTGGTGAAATGATCTCGAGACTCAGTCAGTGACAAGGCAGCTCCAGGGGCCCCTCTGGGGCAGCCTGGCACACAGAATGCACATGTGGTGACCAGCATCGCTATGCATATGCGGTCCAAAGGATATGGGACCTCCCCTCAGTTTTAGAAATAAAAACTAATTTCCAGGAATGCAGACTCTCACCCTGAGCTCCCCGGGAAACCTTACCTTCAGCGGTGCCGGAGAGCCCGTCAGCTTTGAAGTTGCTGGTACTTTTCTTCCTTCGGTGCTTCTTTCTGTTCGCGTGAGGGGAGGGGGGCGGGTCGAGCTTGGGGCTGGTGGTGCTGGAGATACTTGGACTGGAGCACACGGAGTCGCCCAGCCCTGTGTCTGCCATGGGACCAGAAAAGGCAAAAGAATGCAAAAGTTAACACTTATAAAGCCAGCTTCGCAGAAATACGAAAGCAGTGTTCCTCCACTATCCTACCAGGTCCCACAAGTACTATGTTAGGTGAGCTCACTGGACTGGAGGCCCCAAAGCATGCAGTATTAAAAGTTCATGGGGCTGTTTCCTCTAATGTACCACCTCCCATTAAAAAAAAAAAAAAAAAAAGACTTTATTTCTGGATCACTGTAGGCTATGAATTTAAAATCCTCCACTTTGCATGGCTGGGGTTCTGGAAAAGCAAAGTGAGAAGTCCATGCTTTTTACTAGTTTATTTTTCTCGTCCCATAATTACCCTGATCCATTAGGAGAGAAATCAAGATGTCTGTGGACGCATACAAAGGTGTCCTGGGGGTGGCTCGGCCTCTGTGCATGCACACAGGGGAGAGGGAGTCCCAATTAGCTCACTTCCACCCTCAATGTCACGTACAACTGCAGCATGGGTTTACTATTAGTGAAAAACAGCATGAGTCTCTCTCCCCATAGCAGACCTGCCAATTTTTGATTCTCTTGACTCTTTGGGACCTACCCTGTGTCAGGCACATTGACAGGCAATGGAACTGTCCCAATGTCCCAATGACTGTTCCCCCATCCCTACCCTTGAGGAGCTGAAGCCTCACCACGGAGGCAGATGAGGAGAACGGGCAAGGACGACTGGCCTCTGCAATGGCAGGGCTGGCCTTCTGCTTCTTCACTCTGCCCCCTTGGGCAACCACTCAATTCAACGCACCACTTTCATTCCCAACTGTGCATCCTAATTCTTTGGTCACTCCACAGCTGTAATGCTCTCTCCCAGATGAATGCTTCTCATCCCTGCACTCAGAGGTCTGCCAGTTGTCTGGCTCTAACCAGCATGCCTGTCCCCCAGCGCAGCTGTAGATGCCCTTTCCCCCGTTTGATGCTCAGCATGGAGTGTCGGCACCATTCCCAGCAAGCTTCCCCAGGTCCCTCCCATCACCTGGTACTTCTTTCTAAAAGCACACACCCATGTTTCTTTGCAAGATGTTAAGAACATACGCTTGACTCACATGTGGTCAAGTAACAGCTGCCACCACATGGGGTGGCTCTATGTCTGAGCCCTCTAGTCCCTTCTGCGACTCTTTCCCTCTGTTTGCCCTGTAATAGCACATGGCCTTGAATGCAACGGCCTTGAATGCAACAGCCAAGGAGTCCTGGTGCATCACCTGGCTGGCACATCCCCCTGCACCTCGTTGATCCTTCACCTGGAAGGATCTGAAGGCAGATCCTTCACTGCCTTGCCCACTCGTGCTGAGCACACAACCTGGTACCTCCACCTACACGTCACCAGGGAAGACATTAACCTGGGAGGAGTCCAAACAAAGCCCCAGCTTGCAGACGCAGCAATACTGAGCTGGAAGCGCTGGTGAGCACCGGTGCGACAAGACCGGGGGACATCATGTCGTGCGTGTCCCGCTCACAGATCCTCGGACTCACCCAAGAAGAAAGTGCTGAATGCTCTCGTCAAACACCTCACTGAAGGCCTACACGGCTGCCCCACTGACACACATTTTTGACAATTTTTGAATAATAAAGGGAAATCCACTTCATGTTTTCTCTCCTTAATGAGCTACCCTGTTTAGTCTACACACACACAAAGCAATTCTCCAACAGCCTAATTTAGGATCCACCTGGAAGGTTACTTCAACTCCCTGAAATACTAGTCATAATTCGCCCTCCTGGGGAACAAAATGACATGTGTTGGTGTCCAAGAATCTCCCTCCATTCCAGGTGCAGAAAACTGTTCCTAAAGTCACTAACAGGGACTTGGTGATTTCATTCCCAAATTTTCTGGGCATCCTGGAATATTTGTAATTCAGGGAGAAATCTCTGATTCACCTGAAGGAAGTGGCTGAGGGGCATCTTGGGGCAGCAGTGACACCTGCCTTCCCCCGCGGGACCCTGAGCAGTCTCTCCAGCCTTCTTTTCCATGGGCACCTTCCACACCAGCACATCCTTCCACCTGTGGCTCCGGCGTTCCACTGCGCCACTGGCTCCCAACTGGAAACCCCTGCCCAGGGACACCTGGTCACGTCCACAGATGTTTCTGGTTATCAGACTGAGACAAGGTGGAGGTGTATGGGCATAGAGCAGGTAGAAGCCAGAGATGCTAAAAAATGTCCCAGGACACACAGGACAGCTCCCACCACTAAAAACCGACTGGTCTAAAATGGCGACAGGGAGAGACCCGCAGGATCTGAATTGCTCTGTTCCTCGTCACCGGCTCAGTCTCCTCGTCTGTCCGTGTGAACCCCCTCACGACAATGAACCTCTTGGAACACTTGCTTTACCTGCTTTGAGTTGCCCCCCGCCCCACCCAGGTGATGGCACTGGCGTCCCACTCCCAGGAAGCACACAGGTGGGGTCAGGTGTCCTTCCTCACTAGGCACTGCTTGCAGACCACTCCCCCTTCAGCCCCACCCCGTGAAGCAATCCCCCCATCCCGCCAAGCCTGCTCACACCCACTGACCCCTGGCATCTGCTCCTTCTTCGCTCCCTGTTTTAGCAGCAGCTCACCCCACCCTCACTCAGGAGTGACAACGTCCAGCTCCTCCTAGGCCCTCACTTCAGCATCCTGGCCTCTTAGGCCTCTGCCTTGCTAAGCTCCCTCCTTCCCTCTGGCCCTCATGGTCCTGACTCAGGCCCACCACAGGAAGCCAGCTTCACTGGGTCTCATTTTTTTGTCTCCCAGGTCACTTACACCAGGACCCACACTCTGAGGGTTAATCCAGCAGCACTCTTCGCCCTCTACCCTTCCTGATCACTCATCCAACTTGACTGCTAACTTCCACCCCCTACCTGCTTGGCGCCTGCGCTCAGGCCCTGCTGGAGGGACACCCTCATTCCCACTGGGGTTGGACCACTGGCCTACCCTTCCACCTATTACATTCCCGGAGTAAAGCTGCTTCCCACCCTCCAATAGGCTGTATCACACCCCCTCCGTTCTCCCCAAATGCCCCACACCTCACTCCATCCCCCATAAAGATATCACCTTTCATTTTGCTGAAGACAGAAACAAAACAAAACAAACAAACAAAAAAACCCAACCAAACCAAAAAGCAGCAATCAGAAGACAGCATCCTCCTTCCTGTCCCTGGTTCTCATAGACCCGGGGCCTCCTCGCTCTGGGAGCTGGCTCCCATCCCATTTTGCTCCTGGAGTGACTTTGCCCCAGCCTTTCATACCCTCTCTGTCCTGCATCAAACGTGCTGTACCACTGCACTGCCTTCTGTTTCTAAGAAAAACCTCCGTGACCCCGTGCCCTTGCCCAGCCACCATCTGATTTCTGATCCTCTTTAAAGCAGAGCCCCCTGAGCCTCTCCCCTCTTTGCTGCTTGTGTCTGGTCAAGGCTGACCCCACTCCCATCAAGCTTGCCCCACCAGCCGCTGCCCTGCCGTCACGGTGGCCACCAGTGCTATCACAGCCCCATCAGTGGACAAGCCCCGGTGGGCTTGCATGGGTCTTGGCAGCACCCCACACGGCTCACAGCCCCCACCTTTGTGGACAAGCCAGAGTGGACTGGACGCCCGTCAGATCACAGGGAAACTAGGAAGGTGTGGGTTTTAGAACCCAAAGGAGAGGCCCCCAGAGAGCTGCTGTCCACGGCTGCCTGGCATCCAGTCCCACTGCCTCACGTGGCAGGTGGTGTTCCCTACGTGGAACACTCCGTCACCCAGTTGTTTGTGCCCCTGGCGACGAACGCCTTCCTGGCAAGATGTGAACCTTACAGAGGCAGAGACTGCTTTGGCCTCTTCACCAGGATGCAGCCTGGCACAGATTTGGGATGAAAATGGGAGTTGCGTGCATATTTGTGGCATTAAGTTTTATAAGGAGTTGAGGTCCCTTTGAGGGGCACTCACGCAGGTGGATGGTGCTTTCTGCTGCGTAACAGAGAAGCACTTGGTGACTTCCTGGTAAAATATGGGCACGCAAGTCTCCAGCCATCCAGGACCTGTTTCAAGGTGAGCTTCTAACTCTGTGAATGAGTATGCACACTGAGAGTAAGGAAGCCTTAAATACGCCACGTACACTGCATGAGCATGGAGTGCTACATGAGCCAACTCTGGCCAGGCATCTGAGGTTCAGCACCAAGAAAAGGGCAAAAGGGGAGCCTGGGTGGCTCAGTGGGTTAAGCCTCTGTCTCTGGCTCGGGTCATGATCCCACGGTCTTGGGATCAAGCCCTGCATCGGGCTCCCTGCTCAGCGGGGAGCCCGCTTCCTCCTCGCTCTCTGCCTGCCTCTCTGCCTACTCGTGATCTCTGTCTGTCAAGTAAATAAATAAAATCTTAAAAAAAAAAAAAGAAAAGAAAAGGGCAAAATCCCTGCATCACAGAGCCGATTTCTATGGGTGAAGGAAGGCCTATCTAATTTCTTGCTCAATGTCTTCATGAAGAACTCTTTTTCTGGGGCCATGTTATTGGAACAGAGAGGGAAGGGGGGGCTCATACGTGCAGTGGGCACGCCAGCTGCACGCAGGTCACTGTATGCTCACGCAAGTGACCCTGCACGCAGACGGAAGTAAGGTGAGGCGCCATCTGTATGCCCACCTTCCTCGGTGGAGCAGGCCAACCGGCTGGCCCTGTAGGTCCCCTTGAGAAACAGAAATGTGACTTGGGACAACTGGTTGGGCCATGAGGACTCAGAGAATGAGTGTGTGAGGGTGACAGGGAGACAAAGTACCACTGAGTTAGAAGGCCCTGGGGCGGGGTGGGGCTGGGGACAAACAGAACACAGGAGCCCTGGCCACTGGAGGGAGGGAAGGAGATAAGCTTTTAAGATGACATAGGGTTGTCATAATGAAAACAGAAAAGCAGGATCAGCATTTGTAAACCCCATAAATTCTATTTCAGACAAGAAGGAAAATGAATAAAGTAACCGATGAGCACAAAACACTTTGGAATCCATGAGTACTTCCCACCTGCTGCC